AAAAAATGTTGTAGTAAGGCAATACAATGCACGTTTGAAACGCTGGCTCACTCACTATAAATAAGCGCCTCCTACCACCCCTTCAATCACCACATTCACAACTCAAAATCAATCAAAATTTACCTACAATAAATCATTATTCAGTGAAAAATGACGCATTCGACCTCGGCCGCTTTCGTTGTCGCCTTAGCTGCCGCCTTTCTCCTCCATCTCTGCTGTGGCTACCCTCACAATAATAATCCGTCTTCTATGTATACCCCGAATTGCCCCCCTGATTTTGAACTTGACCTAGTCGCTTTCCCTTTGAATCTCGAGTACTTGGAGGCCGAATTTTTCTTGTGCGGCGCTCTCGGCTATGGGATCGACACAGCATCTCCCGGCCTCAGCAACAAAGGCCCACCGCCCATCGGCTGCAAGAAGGCCAACCTAAGCCCGTACGTAAGAGATATCGTCACCCAAATGGCTTATCAGGAAATCGGACATCTCAAGTACGTAACTTATATATATATATATATATATAGTTAAATTAATTAATTGAGGTGGTTTGATTAATATAATATGTATCTTATATCAATAGGGCAATACGACAGACTATTCAGCCTCCTAATGTTGCATTCGGGAGGCCGCAGCTTGATCTGAGGTCAGAGGTATTCGCAAGTATTATGAACAACGCCTTTGGAGGGAATAATAATGAATTCAATTCATTCGACCCTTACGCTAACGACTTGAACTATCTTATTGCATCCTACGTCATCCCTTATGTTGGATTAACCGGATATGTCGGGGCACTGCCTTGCATCCTCAATCCAATTTACAGAAGGGTAAATTAATTAATTAACCATATATATATATTTGAACTGTACGTATATAGATGAATTAACCGTAAATTAATAATTCTCATCATGTGCTCTTTTTGTGGACAGCTGGTGGCGGGGCTTTTGGCGGTGGAATCGGGCCAAGATGCGATTATAAGGGAAATGTTGTACGAAAATGCCGAGACAATAGTAAGTGGATCCGGATTCTACTCGGTGGCCAATTTTACCCAAAAGATTTCGGAACTGAGGGACAAGCTGGGAGGACGAGGGCACAAAGACGAGGGTATATTAGTCGACCCGAAAGATGGTGCGGAGGGAATGATATCCGGGAATGTGCTTGCCGGCGATGTTAATTCGGTGGCTTTTGACCGAACCCCGGAAGAGATTCTCGGAATTGTGTACGGGAGCGGAGACATGTGCCAGCACGGTGGATTTTTTCCCCAAGGAGGTAATGGGAATATAGCGAAAAAATGTCGCAAAAGGCGAAACTGAGAATAAACATATTATATTATATTAAATAAATAAATGAATGGAAGTTGTGATTGTGTTTGTGTTGTTATATTATATATACTATAGGTTGTGGGAAATAATCAAAGAGTGTGTTTTGGTACTGTGTCTTTTATTTTTATTTTTGATGATTTGGGAGTCTTAATTTGTGCTAGCTGATCGGCTTGTGATCAGAATATGTGTCGTTTCATTGTTTCATCGTTTTCTATATCTTTCTTATTATGAATAATGATAATGTATTGTATGGTATCACCAAGTATGAATCGAGTTTGCTGATTATAATATTTTGATTTGTGGCGATTAAATATGAAAGTTAACTTTGAAATTTCCCCCTAATATACACTATTCTTTTTCTCTGGATCTGTTATTTTAACTATTTAAGGTGGGAACAAAAGGGATTGAGTTTGTTCCGGGTGAATAAGAAAAGGTAACGAATCTTAAAGGGCCATTTGGATATGAGTCAAAATAGGTTTTAATCAGGTTTGATCGATTGAGTTATTTTGTTTTATATCTTTTAACTCAGAAATCCAGCAACTCAACTCAATTCTTCTTAACATTATCAATATAGTTGAATAATATCAATCAATCATCATCTTCACACTTCACATCAATTATCAATATAGTTGAATAATATCACTCAATTATAATTCATAAATTTTTTAACCGGCGGCCGTCAGGATCTCCCCAAAACTGGCCCTGGAGACGGCCCGCCATTTTTTTCAAATTTTTTAATTATTTTTGGGTTAGGCCAGCTTGGACCCGTTGATAGCCGTTGGTAACCCAAGTATCTGGGCCGTTTGATATTTTTGACCGTTGAAGATTCAATGGTCAGATTTTATTTTATTTTACTTTTTAAATTAGTTTCCATTCTGAGTCCTAACCGGCCCGCCCGAAATTGCTAACAGACATTTTTTCAGATCTGATCGTTCGATCATCTTGACCATTCGGTTAAAAAAATTGAAAAAAGTCCACAAAAAAAATCATATAAATACCCATCCCCCAAATCAGATTTTTCATACCACTTACAACATTCTTCCACTCCTTTCTACTCATCATTTTCTAAGTTCTTGAAGTGTTCTTTTTTAGTTTTTTTGCTTGGTTTACTATAAAATCGGTCTGATTTTATATAAATTCAGTCCCGAACTGCCAATACTATATATTCACTCTCATTTCGGTTCTGGTTGTATAAATTCTTTACATAATGCTCTCTCATTTCTAATTCTATTATTTTCACCTCACTTTTTTATTTTATAAAATATATTCTTCAAGTTATAAAATGTTGAATACTCGTGGTGGTGGTCGTGATGGTCGTGTCGGTGATCGGCCACCAGAAAAACGTAAAAATGTAGGCGAATCTTCTTCGAGTAGACCTCCATTCCCGATGTTGAGACAGATGGTATACCGGGACTCCGAGTCTTACCGATGACGTTGAGCCCAAGACAGTCCAATACTAGCAGAAAAAACACTTTTTACATCGCGGGTGTTTACATCGGTTTTGTCGAAAACGATGTATAAAACAATTTTCACATCAGATGTGATATCAGTTTTGCCGAAACCGATGTAAACAACTAAGGCCGTTGTATTTTTGTAAATAAATTTTTCATTACGCACATCGATTCTTACAAAATCGATGTGAATGATTTGATAGGCGACACTGATTACATCGGTTCTATGTATAACCGATGTAAAAAAATTAATTTAAAATATCGGTTCAGAAACACCGATATATGTGCCTGTGCACTGACATCGGTTTCTGACACAACCGATGTGTGAACCGGTGCATTTAGAATGCATCGGCCCAGATAAACTAATGCGAATGCGACCTAAAAATGATGTGCTAAATTGATGTCGAACTGTTTAATAAAATCGGTGTGAAGTCGGCCCAAAAGTGATGAGACAAATTTCCTAAAATCAAATAATAAGCCCAAATCGAACTCCCTCTTTCTCAAGAAAAGCGATTGCTCTCAAAACCCTCCGTCGCTCCTTCAACTTCTCATCGTCACCGGCCGCCGCACCTTCACAGCCGGTGTTGACAGCGAGCCCGGCGCAGCCACTCCTTTCTTCTCCGGACCATCCACAGTTTGTTGACCGTGAGCCAGACGCGGCCTCCTTCGACGACAGACGTTTGTCGACTGCCGCCCGTTGTCCGTCCACTGTCGCCGGCCGTTTTTTTGGTAAGACGTTCTTCACAAATCATCTCAACTGAAATTGTTAATTGTTTCATTTGCTAGTTGAATTCAGTTGTGGTTAATTGCTTACTAACCTATATTTAAATTGATAATAGTTAAAATTTTGCTAGGGTTTTAAGTCTCTGCTAGTGAATTGATCTTTGACTCTGTAAAAATCGTATCTTTGGTTTCCAGAATTGAGATTTGAATCTCTTGGTTTTGAAATTGTTAAAGGGTTTTGTTAGGGTTGTAGTCTCTGCTGGACCCCGGTGAATTGATCTTTGATTTCTGTATAAATTTTCTGTTGGTCCTCTGAGAAAGGATCCATGCGAATGACTTTTCATCACAAAATGACTAAGAAACGGTACGTAATATTATTACTAAAGCACAGGTAAACGGGAAATCGATATGGAAAGCAAATCAGAATAACTAACTTAATCTTTTTTAACTACTGTGATTGCCCTAGCTACAATTTCTCCTTTTCAGTCACGCGTCAGCTTCTTCATCCATTCTAAATAATATCTTTGAAACATATAATTTTCTTGAAATTATATGAGACTTCACACAAATGCACAAGTAAGAATGTTAACTTGAAGATATAAACCGAAATAAAATTATTAACCAAACAACATAGCAGCTAGAGAAGCTAGAGAAATTTAATGTGAAATCAAAAAATATTCATCTTAAGATAAAATATTTTAAAATAAGCTTAAAAAAGCTCATTCAAAATCATCTCATCTCAACACATTTAGCTTATTAATGCTCTCATTTTTGGTTAGAAAAAGTTTAGCACCTAACGTAGGAATATATCTGAAAATTGTTCAAGTTATATGTAATATGAGTTAATATTGTTGGCTCTTTCTATTTTCTTTATCTCCAGAATATGGTTCTTTTCCTTG